GGAACTGTGCAGATGGCTGCCTCGCTCTCCGCCCTGGTTCTGCGGTGCCAGGGACATCCCAGGGCTCCTGGTTCTGAGGGCCGGTCGGGCGGCCACCACTATGGCCCAGCCTGGCTTTGCGAGCTTCTCTTGTCTGTGACAGCCTCGTTCCTTCCTTTCCGAGGCCAATGTGCCCTGCTCCCCAGCTCGGTGGAGTCAGCTCACAGCATTTGAAAAACCCAGAAGTGAAAGGGTGAATGGCTCAGCACCACCAGGAGGAACTCTTCTGAGGAGGAGCTGGGAAAGATGACAGGTCCGGCCACAGCCTCCTGGGAAGGTTTTTGACAGCCCCTCCTGCCGAGACGCTGCTCAAAGAACCACAGTTCAGAGGAGAGCTTTGAAGGTTGCAGCAGCTGGAGGAGCAGAGAGCTCCCGCCCCCAGGGCACAGGCCTCCTCTCCCCTGGTCACACTCCCATCAGCCCCTGAGCCAGGCCCTTGGGAGGGTTCGTCGGCGACCCTCTGTGCAGGGGCAGCTCCTCCATCTTCCTTCTCCAGGGCAGGCGCTTTCCCGCGGGCCTGGGCTGGCTGGCCTCACTTCTTGGCGACTAACCAAGGACTCTGGCCCTTGAGGAGGTACAGAGAAGGAGGTGTTTGAGAGGAGGCTTGCTGGACAGTGGCCCATTTCATGGGGACTTCCTAAGGCCAGAATCTCCCCAACCCAGCTGCCACCTGGCCAGACTCCCAGTCCCTCACGGTTGGGACCTGTCCTCTCTGTGGCTTTCCCCTGGACGGTCTCCCTTGTCCTCCCCTGAGCTGAGAAGCAAGCACGGCCCAGGCTCACATTCACCGGAAGATTCTAACAGGGAAAGAGCAGGAGCCAGGGGAGGGCCCCTCGTGGGCAGTGGCCAGCTTCTCCCACTCCAGGCTGACCCCGACCACACCGGCCACCACAGTGTCCTCTGTTCTCAGGAGCCCAAGCCCTGGCTGGTTGTGCCCCGTTGAGCACTGAGCATGCCCGTCCTGGCACTGCTGGCTACTGCTAGCCCTGGAGGGCAGGCCTCACCATCCAGGGTGGCCTCTTCCCTCCCCTCCCAGTGACTGGCAGGAAGCACAGAGCCTGCACATAGTAGGTGCTTCATAAAGTGGACTGATAACTCCCCAGATGTGGATGAGCCCTGACCCGGAGGACACTGACTGAGGACCCTGAGGAGACCAATGAATAGGGAAGTCCTTGTCCTCTCTGTTCACCGTCTGCCGGGATGCCCCTCCCCCACCCCAATGTAAAGTAGAGGAAAAAAAGAACATTCCAGATAATAGACAAGGGAGATAGATATGGCCACCCGAGGAGCCCAGAAGCACCTTCCCAGGGCCATGGCACCTGTGTCACCATGACAGATGGGGAAGAAGGGCTTCGGGCAGAGGAGCCAATGTGGGCGATGGAGGGGGATAGCAGGGATGGCCACAGAGGACCTTGAGCAGACCTTGAGGCGGGCCCACTGGGGTAGGCTCCCTGGGGAAGGGCTTGGTCCCCAGCCCAGCCCTGCTCCAGCTGTTCCCTCCACAGGTACTTGGCTGTTGCCCAGAGACATGGTGTTTCCTAGAGCCAGAGGTTCACTCTGCTTGTGGGGTTTGGCCTGAGGGTCTGAAGTAGCGTTTTCTGCCCTGCAGCGCCACCCCCTCCACCATCTTGAGGAGCAGCGGCAGCCCTTGAAGATTCTGGCCCCCCTTCCTCCCCTCCTCTGCTCTCCATCTTGGTGGGGTCTCTACTGACCACTCATCAGACGCCCACCTTCTCCTCTTTTTAAATATTTTAGAGTCTCAGGTGATTGATGCCTCAAGTTGCCTGAGTGGGAGGGACACAGGGGGCCTGATAGGGAAGGTGGCGAACTTGACCGTGTGACCGTGCCGGCCGTGGTCCTGAGTGCTGGGGATCCCTGGGGAGCCCCTGCGTGCCACATGGCTGAGGCTGTATGGCTTATTCTCTCATAATCTCCCAGTGTGGAGCCACCATGAGACACGCCCTCTGCCACCACTGTGGCTCTCAAGGAAGCTCTACCGCCATGTGACACAGCCTACTCAAGTTTTGTTACTGAGGGTTATGAAGCACACGCAGGCCACACGCAGGCCACATGCAGTTCTGCAATCCCACGGCCATGCATGATGTTACCCCAAATAACCCTGGGGGGTGAGCAGGAGCGCTCCAGCATCTGGTCTTCCAGGCGCTCACCTCTCCATGGAATCAGAAGGTTTCAGGGTGTCAGAGCTTGCGGAACTTTTGGAGGCCACCCAGGTCTGGCTTCCTTGTTTGATGCTTGGGACACTGAGACCTGATGTGAGCTGCCCAAGGCCAGACAGTTGTCAGAGTAGAGAGAACCAGAAACCCAGTCTCTGGACTTGCTGGCCCAGTAGGAGGAAGCACTGGGTGGGGGCCGAGACGGGGCAGCCTGGGTGTGGGGGGAAGGCTGTCCCTTCCTTGGCAAGGCAAGGCTTCCTTGGACCCACGTGACTACAGCTGCATAAGCTGCAAATCTTGAGAGGGTCCTTATTTGGGCCTGGATGAACCTGTCACGCTGTCACTCACAGGGCACTGGTTCGGTCTTTGTCAAGCTAGATGTTTGCATGTTGGGAAGTGGAAAATGCTGGGCAACCTGCGTCCCCCCTCTGTGACAGAAACCAGAGCAAGAGGTCCTGGGACCAGAGAGTAACCACCGGAGGCCAAGCCTTCAAGATCCAGCTCCTTGCAGTTTGCAAAATCTTCTACAACATGCTGGAAGTCTGCCCCAGGTAAGAGCCGGTGAATCTCTGACTCCCTGGCTGCAGCCAGGCCCCCAGTATGGAGCCAGAGACTTTGACCTCCATGAGCCCTCTGGGGCCGCAGCTTCTCTGCGCCATGCCCCTACTCTATAGTTTCCCTTTTCTAATGTCCCGGTCCTCTGAGCATTAGCACTGATGTCCAGCGATCCTGCAGACTTTTGACGACTCCTCTTCCTACATCCAACCTCCCTGCACTGCCCTGGACACAGAGTTAAGATCCAAGTGGAAAAGACCAGGCTGGAGTCAGGAGCCCACAGCCCTGTGATGGAGGGGGCTCCTGGCAGAGGGGTCCAGGGACCCCAACCACACGAGGGGATAATGCGCTTATGGTCTGGGGCCAAACCTCAGTGGACTGTAGCTCACTGTGCAGGGCAGTATGGGGGCCACAACCAGGCCGGAGACAACATGAAGTGATGTGTGGGACCCCACCTCAGGAAGGGCGAGGACCGCTCCTGTCCAGGTAGGGCGTCCCTGCCACCACCGTCCACCTACTTTTCTTTGACTCTGACTTTGTAACTTCTTTCTACATATTTTTCTATCTTCTTGCGTTCATCCTCACCAGTGACCCAGTCCTCCGTGGTGTTAGCCGGGACAGTGGGTAAATGGGAACAAGAGCTGAAGCAGAAGGTGGGTTCTGGGTGCCCAGACTCACCCGGGGCCATCAGCTGATTTGGAGTCTCAGCTGAGATCACCAGGGGCTGACTGCTTCAACCGGAGCCCAAAGCCATCAGACAGTGGGTTCAGAAAACAGGCAACTTTGATTTCTAGGTCCCCACCAGGGGTGTGTGGGGGGGTGTCAGCCCTGGAGATGGGATAACCCAGAGGGTCAAGGTGAGGGCGGATTTCAAGGAGCAGAGCACATGGCAGGCCACTTGATGACTTTTAGAGATCCTGGGCACTTTTTCCTCTTTGTGAGTTACTTCCCCCATAAAAAGTTGTATTTCTGACTGTTTGCAATCCAGGCTGGATTCATTGTTATATATTCACTTTTTCCCCTTCTAAATCTAAAAGCATTAAAAATTAAAATATTTTGGGGACCCTTAAAAGAACCGTAGGTCCAGCTGAGTGGCCACAGCATCCGATGGGAAGCCGCCCTGGGTAGGGTCGTGGGTGTCTGGCTCAGGCTGAGAGGTGTCCCTGGCTTGGGATGAGCTGGAACACACCACAGAGCTCTGTGGGCAAAGCACTGGGGCCAGCCAGAGGTGTGGGGCCTGGGTGGCTACAAGCTCCTGCCTCCTGGGAAGGGGACACAGGAGCTCCATTTGTGTCCACAGGGATCAACTCTAGCTCAACAGTGTTGCGTTGGAAACAATGAAGCTGAGACTTAGAGGAGGCAGTGATCTGGTTTCAAAAATAACAGAGTGGACACTGAGAGAGAGAATGCTGGGATCGCCCCTGGGGTTGGGGCAGCCAAAGCCCGAGAGCCTGAGCTCACCCCCACCCCACAGGACTCTCAGGAATGCAAAGCCCACTGATGCCAAGTCTGTGTGTAGAGTTTCCAGTTCCCCTTGTGCTGACTGTGAAGAAAAGATGTCCATATAAAATGTGCATTGTGAACAAGATGGAGGTGTGTGTTGAAACTCCCTGGGGAAGCAACGATTTACGCTGTAACACAGCTAACGATAAACCTGCATGCCCTACCTCACGGTTGGAATAATAAAATAACACCTCACCATTAAAGCAGGTGTTCTGAGATCCGCATAAAGCAGCAAGCTATGAATGGAAAGCGGTACAACTCTTTTAAAAAATAAAAACAACTTCAGGCTGGCCCCACCTGACCTGGATCTGGTGAGTTTTCTAACTAGTTGGCGGAGTAGAACGGAGCATGAAGCGAAGCCCCTTCTTCGCTGCAGCCATGGGTGGCCCTCAGATTCCTATCAAGCCAACAATGTGATCTGCAGTAGCTGGTGGTAGTGAGTGTAGCTCGAAAACAAAACACAACATTCCACCAAAACCCCAAAGCAGTCGCACATGGCCCCTTTGTGTTCCTGGAGGTCTCAGGCACAACGGGACCCTCCATGCTTAAATGGCTCTGGGATGAACTTGGGAAATGTTACAATAGACATTGCCTCATAGAGCTCCCTCCCTCTCTCTCTGTTGGACTTAACATTTCAAAACATTGCTCCATACTTCTGAGGACCCCTGCTTCTGGGATTTCCTGCTTGCACAAGAAAGAGTCTGTTGAGTGGTTAATCAGGATCCTGAATTGCCATGTTTCCTTTTTTCTTCTTTTTAATAATGAAAATCCACAAGAGTTTACAATATTCTCAGATACACCTAGTCTGGCAAACATGACGGACCTCCACGTGTATGTGAATTCACACGTGAGCTAGCAGCACCTCAGTGCTGGCTGGCCCCCTTTGGCACTGAAACACGATAATTTATTAAGCTTTGAAACTTAATAAGTGTGCACAAATATCATGCAAACATTAGGACCGTACTCACAAACAGAAAGTGTATTAGAGACACAGACTTATACAAAACATTTTGTAAACAAAAGGGAAGGGGTTATTTTCTGTACAAAATATGTAGGTTTCTCGCTCTCTCTTTTTTTTTAATAATCTGTAAGATGCATCATACTTCTGGCATTTTCAAAAAGTGAAAACTGTATAAAAATAAATATTCTATGTACAAAACACACACAGGCCAATCCAAGGTTAGAGGCATCACTGCAAAACAAAATCAAAACAACGTTCGGTTAGTTTCAAGGGGTCTTTGGATACTTCCTTCCTTGAAAGAAAGGGGGTGTATCTCATCCTAAATTGCATGAGGGCTCTTGATAGGGAAACTGAGGAATCATAAGGCTCCTAGTGGGAAGAAACTCAGTGGACTTCAAGCCCCCTGAGGGTGGGAAACACAATCTTCACCTTTCAGTCATTTCCCCTTGTTCCCACCAGAGGGCAGTCTCTGTGCTGTCTTAGAGGCCAGGTTGATCACAGCAAGGTCCCAGCGAGTGAATAGCTAAGAGGGCCTCTAGTTGCTTCCTAAGGTGTCATGGTCCTTTTTTAAAAATTATAATTATTATTATTATTGGCAGCACTGGGGATTGAACCCAGGGATTCTTTACCACTGAGCTACATCCTCAGACCTTTCTAATTTTTATTTTGAGACAGGGTCTCCTAAATTATCCAGCTGGCCTTGACCTTGCCATCATCCTCCTGCCTCAACCTTGAATGTCGATGGGATCACAGGCCTGTGCCACTGTGCCTGGCTCTGTTGTAGGTGTGGATAGTGGCTGTGGTTCCTCTGTTAAGCTCAAGTATTTCAATTTCCTGACAACTGGCAGCCAACTTAAACAAGAAAATCTTTTTTTCTCTTTTTTAGGGGGAAAAGGGCCTGGGGGTCTTACAGGACACACTCCTTACCTGCTTCCTTGAAGCTTTAACTAGGTCTTTCTGGAACTGGACAAGAGGGTGAGTTTTGGTGTGAGGGGCAGATTCTTGGGGAGGCATCTCCCTTGAATATTGGGCTTTCAAGTGGTATTCAGCCTAGTGCATAACGTCTCCATGGCTTCGCTGCTTTTACCCAACCCTGTGAGCTAATGAGCATCTGAGCATCGCACGGGGGAGCTTATCTGTCTCCTGGTAAGCGTGGCTCTGCCATCCCCGAAACAGGACTGGACTAGCGAAGCACCAACTCCCTAGCAGCTTGGGCTTGGATTTAAGAAGAAACACACTAATACCTTGAGAAATTGGTGGAGGAGGGCTGGTGGAGGATGTTGCACGGGGCAGCACGGTTGCTGCTACCTATGCTGGGGACGCAGGGGGGCTTCCGGATCTGTAGGTCAGTGGCCCTTAGGTGGGGAGTCCTGTGCCTTGGAGAGTGCTGGCTGGGTGGGGGATCTCATGGAAGAGCCGGCTCTGTGGCCTCAGAGTGCTTCATGATGGCAAAGGCCAAGGCAAGTGTGAGTAAGTGAAATGTCATTGTTGGTGGGGATTCTGGGAACCCAGAAGAGGCTGGGTTGCAGGGGCACTTGAGCAGACACAGGCCCTGACAGCTCAAGTTCAGGGGGAAGCGCAGGGTGGAGAGCCAGGCAATCCAGAGGCATAGAAGCCATGTGAGTTGAGAGTTTGGGCAGCGTAGATGTTTTACATCTGGATAAATACCATTATATGGCTTAAATGACCTCATCTGAATGCCACGAGAGCAGGCATTGGTAATCTACTTCAAAACACAGCCCGGAGCCCGTCTGGGTGGCTACATGGAAATTCCATGCATTGGGGTTTGCGGACACCTTAAAAAGCATTTTAAAAAGTCCTCTGAGGGCAGCAGCACCTGGGATGTTTAGCAGGCACCCTGCCTTTGAAGGAGGGCTTTTCCCCACCCTGGTCTTCCTGCCCCATCTGCAGAAAGACAGAATGGAAGCACTGCAAACTTTAAGGCACCATGGGGGAGGGCAGTAGACCCCTGTCCCCAGGCAGCGCAAGCCTGAGAAGCTTACCTTGTTCCAGCAGCCCTGGACTGGTAAGCCGTCTTCACCCTGCAAGGAGAAGGGAAGCAGAGCCTCAGATTCAGGCCAAGCAAGCAGGGCAGGGGTAAAAAGAGCCACAAACCTTCCAGCCAATGATCAGACACGGCCCACCCACTATTGCCTATTTCTTCTCTCTGCTTGAGGTCAAAACCTTGCAAGAGCATGGGAAACCAATGCAGTTGTTTTTGTTTTGATATTGACATTGACATTGGCTAAGGTCACATGTACCTGCAGTGCAAGGACAAGAGGGGCTGTCCAAGCCTGTGCAGTCAGCAAGCACAGATGACCCTGAGTGCCCTGAGAGGCAGTCTCTGCTCCAGCTCTATAAAGTGCTGGATGCTCAAGTCACCTCGCACTTGGGCCTTAATTTCTTCCTCTGCAAAACCTGGGCAAGGGGAGATATGCAATGAGGGTCCCAGCCCACCCACTCCCTGATCTCTTACTTGTCTCTCTTCCTAAGCACAGGAGGATATCTGGACAGTACCATGAAGGTCAGTGGGTAGGTTGGAGTTCAAGGGACAAGCAGCCTCAGGGGCATTGCAATGTGACCCAGAGAGGTCTTCAGCTAGAGGACAAACTGTTCTGGCCCGGCCTTGGACATTGCTGGGTATTTGGGGCAAAATGCTATAGCTGAGCATGTAGCAAATGCTCATAGTGGTAACCATGGAGCACCTTGTAACCTCAGGATATTCTGCCCACAGTGACGGACTCTTCCAGTCTTCTGGCCTAACATCCTGTTCTTTCTGGAATACCCCAGGGGAACTTAAAATCTTCTAGAGGCAAGGTGGGGAGGGTGGAGCTGAACCCAGGGCAGGTCTAGGAAGGCAGTCCAGACTCCAGAATTTCAGGTACCAGGGCGAGACAGAGGCAGGCACGGGGTTTCTGGGGGCTGGAGCAAGTGCTCAGTCTTCAGGACTCCTCCGTGCCCTGAACCCACTTCCCCTACCCACACCAGACTCCCAACCTCTGGCATTCTGGTGACTCCCATCACCTGGCATTCAGCAGCGCTGAGCCAAGGTCAATGTCTAGTTATCTCATGGCCTGATCTATAGTTCCCCTGCCCCCAGGGCCACAAGAACACAATGCAGGAGGTGGGATGGGAAATGAGAAAGGGAAGTTATGGGCATTCCCACAAAAAATTAAAAGGCAAAGGCACATGGTTATGGGATGTTATTGGAGAAAACATAACTGTGGAAATGGCTAAGTAAGGACGCCCTCCATTTCCCCTCTGGGTCGGGAGGGGGTGGCAGGAGTGCATCCCACAGTTCTACGGTGACCCTTGTCCCCTTCTCGGCCCACCAGGCTGCGCTGTGGCACTCTGCACACAGGACTCTGAGAGGGAGCCCAGCCTCCGTGGGCTGCATGTCATTCCCACTGGGACGTGGATGGTGGCAGGGGCAGCGGATGGGTGCCGGCTGGCAGAGAAGAAGCAGCAACGTGCAGGAGGAACAGGGCAGCCTGGCCCGCGGCCTCAGAGTTCAGGGTTCTCAGGGGGTGGTGTGTGGGGGTCGCAGCCCAAGGATGATTCCACGGTTAAGAAACACGCATGCACATGCGGCAGGCGGGGCGGGGGTCAACGTGCAGGACGCGCGGGGTCCGGAAGCGTGCTTCTCTGCCTGCTCGTCCTTTTGGTCTTAAAATGTCCCCAGTGTCGTTCAAGGGGCTTTATAGTCACTCCTAAACTGTTTTTCATTCAAGGAGGATTCCTGAGTGACTCCAGGGCAGGGATGTGAGGCTGAACTCCCGCCTTCCTGGGGAAGCACAGGGCCAGCAGGAACCTCCTGGGCCAGTCCCCTTGGAATCGAGGGCCACCTTCTTCTGTTGTAGTTAGTTAAGAGGACTACGTGGAGATCCTTGGCCATCTCCCTGCCTCCTGCCTGTTCCATCACCCCCAGACTCTTCAGCGTGAGCTACTGGAAGATGACTGACCAGGACCTCAAGCGAGGGTCTTGTACTGTCTTCAGGGATTTAAATGAGGACGAACCCTTTGGGATCTGAACACCTGATCTGGGACTATCCCCTAGTTCTGATGGTGTCACCTAAACAGTGACCCAGCCTGGAAAAATAGGCAGGTAGCCCTCTTCTCCACCACAGTTCTGGCACTTCTCAGCCTGCCCTATGTCTAGAAGCATGTCTACCTGTCCCCTGCCAAACTGCCAAACTGCTAGGGGTAGAAGGGGCAGGGAGGCAGGCCGACGTTTTGCCAGGTGTTCAGCTAGCACACAGGAAGAAAAAGGAGTCACAGTTCTAAGAAGCTATCCAGAGGACGCCCGCTTTTCTAGTTTGGACGCAGGTGGCAGATCTGCCTAGGAGCAGTTGGGCAATGAGGCTCAGATGCAGCCCCAACTGCCCTCAGGGTGAAGCGGATCAGGTTATTCGTATCCAAAAGACTCTTTCTGTAATTAAGCTTCTCCAGAGACTCATCATAATTGTTCTTATTAACAGAATAGCAGCAAAAATTTCTGCAAAGAACTCAGAGTGGTTTGGAGCTTCCTATTTTCTGTAAGGGCCAAGTGCTGTGTCTTGCAAAAGCTAAATTTGCCCGCTAACTTGATGGTGAACCAAGAATTGTTACTTCTACTTTTTGTGGTAAAGACTTGTGAAACGTCTGTCTAGTCTAAAAAAAATGGAACAAAAAGCACTTTTCATGTAAACCTTCAAACCTCTCCTCCCACTGGGTATAAAGTTCAAAGAATTTCCCCAGACTCATGGTCCAGAGATTTTTTTTTTTTTTTTTAGGCACAAGCCTACTCTGGACCGCTGCAGCCATAAACCTGCTTCCTGATCGATCCTCAGGTGTCCAGCCTCGCCTGTCCTACATCAAGGGTGGGAGGATGGCCCAGACAAGGAGATGTGCTGCAGAAGCGGCTGCGGGAGGCCAAGAAAACACCCCAACAAACTTTGCATGCAAGAGGGCAGCATGGCCGGGTGCCCCAGCACAGGCAGGGTGACCCTTGGTGTCTACAGACGCCACAGGAAGTGGGAGCTGGGCAGAAGGAACAGGAGTGTAGGGGCACGCAGGTACAAACCACACACGTAGGGAAGCCCAAATTGGCCATGCGGGCAAGGGAGGGTGGTGCCATACCAATGGGCAGGGGGCATCCAGTCCGTCCAGCCCTGGTAACCCCGGCTCCCCTTTCTCTCCTTTAAAACCTCGGTGTCCCTGTTCATGAAACCAACCACGATGATTATTTAGGTCAAGGCTGGCCAGCTCCAGCTGCAGAGTGGAGAGGCGCAGTCCTACCCTGGCCAGGATGCAGGACCCTTAGATCACCTACGAATAAGGGCAAGACGCCAGCACTCGGAGAGCTCATCACGCACAGCCAGCCCCCTCTGCGGACCCACACCTCCCTCTACAGACCCACACCAAACAAGTACAGGTAACTTCAACTTCAGCCCATCATAATTTTTAGAACCTTCACATGGATTGAAAAGCACTTGGGAAGCCTGGCGGAGGGGCCACAAATCTTTAGATCCTGGCTCATGGGGGCTGCCTTCCTGCCGGGTGTCTGTCTCCCGCTTTCCGGGTTTTAGGGGGCTGGTGGGTGTTGCGAGGCTTTGTGGAGAGAAGCCCCTGGTCTGGCCTCGCTCTGCCCAGAAGTATCAGTGACCCTCAGGAGATGCTAACTCTGGTGTCCTGCATCCTGACCGAGTGAGCATTGAGACAACCAAACCGCTGGCCACCAAAGTGGCCCAAAACAAAGAAGGCAAATTCATGGTCCCCAAGGGCTACCCTGGCTCCCAGAGCTATGCTGGAACCCAAGAGCCAAGGCCTCCGCCCCAATTCCCTCTCCACATGGTTTCTTCACTTCCAAGCATCCATTGTTCTGCATCTTCAAAGGAAGAGCATTCAAAGGAAAAGGATTTAGCCTTAATTATTTGCAGCTGTGGTTTTAAGGCAACACCAACAGCCTGCGGGATTTCAAGGGAACAGATACTCTATTTGCCTTCTTTGTTTCCAGCTTGTAAACCTCAAGGAAAAAACCAGAACAATGCAAGTGAGAAATGAAAACATACCAGTGGACAGGGGGCATCTAATCCAGGTGCTCCTTGGTCTCCCTTATCCCCTTTAGGCCCCCTAGATCCTTTCTTTCCCCTTTCCCCCTGTAAGTGATGGTTTAGTTCAAGGGAAAAAAAAAAGAACATCAAAACTTTAAGGTTATTCATATGTTAAGGTTAGAGACAGAAAAAGAAAATGAAAGAAAGAAAAGTAGATTCGCTTCATTAGGATAGTCTCCCCATTAGGATGTGAGGTCCACACCCACATCCCTGCTTGAAACATCTGAGAGTTTGGCCCAGCAAGGTGGGTGGGGGACAGGGAGGCAGGGCTACCTCCAAGCCGGAGGTGGTGGGAAATGGGGACTGAAGGTACAAGTGCCCAGAGAGGGTCTGAGATGAAATTGGAGACAACCTCTGGAATCAATAATCACTTTCCTTAAAAGTGGCCAAGTATGTCCCTTGGATGCTAAAGGGACATCACCTTCCCTCTGCTGGAGGGTCTATTTTTGAAGGGCGTTGGGCTGATTACCTTTTGTCCCAATCACTGTTCAGCCCTCTGACATTCTCTTAGGAGGCAAAGTGATTTTAGGTGGAGCCCTGGGTGTGCTTCTGCTCGTGCGTGCAAGTGCAGCGTGCATGCCCGCGTAACAGTGTGGGTATGTGCCCGTGCCGGCAGGTGTGTGTATGTGCACCTGTGTGTGCGTGCTCTCAGCTGGGTCCTCCCATATGGTTCACACTGGTGTGAAGTCTGATGGTGTTTCTGTGTACTCTGTTTTGCTGTAGACAGCTACTTGTGGATGGACATGATGGTTCAAGGAATTCATTTATTTCTGAGAAGCTTCAGTAAATGTCATCTTTCTAAACTGAGCCCTAATTATTTTTTAAATGTCAGGGTTCATTTAAAGAAAGGCTGTGGGAAATTCTTAAAAATGAAGTATCGAGCTAGGCATGATTGTGCCTGCCTGTAATTTCAGTGACTCAGGGACTGAGGCAGGAGGATCACAAGTTCAAGACCAGCCTCAGCAACCTAGTGAGACTCTGATTCAAAATACAGTAAAAAAGAGCGGGTACTGGCTGGGGGGTGAAGCTCAGGGGTAGAAATCCTTGGATTCAATCCCTGATACCAAAAAAAAAAAAAAAAATCAACCTTGTAATGAACTTAGAGTTGGATTTTTATACGTTGTGTTTCCTTAAAAGTGGCCAAGTATGTCCCTTAAGAGTTTTCCCAGGAACTCTCTTAGGAAGACTAAGGGACTTGCACAGGGTTTCTCCTGTGTGTTGAGGAGAACAAAGGTTTGGAGTGAGAGCTGATTCTGCCATAGGTCAGTGGTCTGATTTGGGGAAGCTGCATAACCTCTCTTGAGTCTCAGTTTCTTTATCTGTAAAATGGGTACAAACACCCACTTTAATGATTTGTTGTGAAGTCTTTGTACATATTAAATGCTTCTTAATAATAACGTATAGTATGTGCTCAGTAAGTCATAATTCCTAATAATAATAACTGACTATTATTTCCTGTTAGTATAGGAACTAAAGCTGCTTCCAGAGGCAAATCTTAGGGTTGGAGCTTCGTGTCTGCCATGTTCCTGTAGTGGCAAACAGCACAGTCTTCAGTTGTTAGAAAGAGGTATTCTTTAAAAATACTTCTGATGTTTCCCTGGATTTTTGAAAATTGCCCAATTTCTTGATTCCAGAGGTTGTCTGCAATTGCCAATGCATTATTCTAAATGAATTAGAAAATGACATGTGTTTAAAAAACATGTATGTGCATACTAGGTACAGTCCCCTTGGCTTGAGGACATGTCCACCAACGAGAACATCATAACATAAGCAATTCCCAAATGGGGATCAGCTCTTTGGGTGGGGAAACCATGGTACATCTTGGAGTGCAGCCCCTTGTTCTCTTTGGGTCAGGAGATCAGTGGGCAAAGCTGTCCGGAGGTGGGGTAGTCCAGCCCTGGATGACTGGCCCGAGGGTCACAGGGTGGAGCATGTGCTGGAGCACTGTGTTCCGAGCCTTCACAGGTATTGGCCCAGGAGCTTTCCTCCACCCCCCTGTCCCCACCTGCAGTGGGGCAGAAGAGGCCCAGCAGGGAGGGATTCTAGCTGTTAAAGGGCAAATAAAGTCAAGGCAGAGATTTTTAAAATAATAGATATAAATGTATGAAATTGATTTCAGAGGAAATAAATTGCAAGGGGAGAAGGGGAAGGGAGAGGATGAGGGTCATGGGGTTCCCAGGGGTGAGCATATTGGAGGAGAAAGACCAAAGGAATAAAGGAAGAGGCAGGCCCAGGCCAGAAGAGCGTGGAGGAGAAGGAGTTGGGACGCGGAGGGCTCAGGAAGGGACACACGTGCACACACACACATGCATACACATGCATGCACCATGCATGCACACACACGCGCGCATGCGTGCACACACCCCAGGCAGGCATCTGGGAGTGGCAAGGCTCCTCACAGCATGCTCAGACCTTTCCAGTTGGCCAGCTCTCAGGCAGCTCCAGGGTAATACCCCAATTCTCTAATGACCACATGACTGGATTCATGCTCCCCTTTGCCTCTGACTGATTTTTTGATCCTAAACATGGTTCTTGGGTCAAATTCACAGAGCTACTTAGAGAGAGAGAGGGTGCCCTTGGTGACAAGGCTATAGTGTTGTTCTTGCTGTCTGGGGCACCCTTAGGCTCTGTGCTTTGCACCTGGGCCTTGGCCCACCTCTACAAGGACCTTCTTTCTTTCTTCCAACACAGGAAAGAGGTTATAAGGCCACCCATGGCTGGGACACAGGGCAGCCTATTTAAGGTTGTCTTAGCCCACTGAAGGCTAGAACAAATCTCTGATGGATCCCCCAGGCTTGATGAGGACAAAGCTTAGGGCTGTCTTACAGGAAGCCTCCTCCCAAACTCAGGTGTGTGGGGGATTTGAGCCTCTCTAGCTTCACCTCCAGGTAACATGGAGGTTTCTAACCAGAATGCTGCCCTCACCCTCTGGCATTTCACCTGGTTGAAACATCAAGATCCTGAGCTTTCAGGAAGAAAAACAAAACCAAACAAAGTCCAAAGCCCTGTGCCAGCCTGCGCCAGCCTGCTGGGCCTTTCTTTGTTTAGGAGGCTTCATTACCAAGGCCTCACATCTCAGAGCAGTGCCTAGAGAGGTGTGAACCAGGTGTGAGCCAGGAGGCCGGGATTTAGAAGAGACCCTTGGAGCACCTGCAAGTCAGGTCTCTTGGATGAAGGGTGCAGACTGTGCCTTGGGTTCTAAACGTGCTCTTTGGGATAAGTCACCCGGCTCTTTCTGGTGAACTCCAAGGAAGCATTGAGCTACTTTACTGTTTTCTGTACTTGACTTAGCCTAAATGACACATTCCTAATTTAGACATGGGACAGGGGCAGTGTTGAACACCAGGAAGGGGACGTGAATATCTTCCCACTGGGGCCTCAGGGGATCATCATAACACCAATTGCTTTGGCATCCGAGTCTCCAGCCTGGGCTGTCTCCTCCCCCTCCCTCCACCTGTGACAAGGGCGCTTCGCCTCCACCTCTCGAGCAACACCCTTGTCGTCACCTGCAATCTTCATATGGCTCAGTGCCTTCAGCCAACTGAAAAAGTCTTAAGAAATCGATTTCACAAGTGGACTATAATAAAGAAAACCAGAACACATTAGAAATAAATTAGAAAGGAGGTCAGTATGCCAAGGAAGGGCTGGAATGATCACAGAGAGGCCCGAAAGACCGGCCATAATTCCTTGGCTCTCCTGCCAGGCCCTTGCTAGCCAATGACTTCTAGACTGAGTCTTGCCATGGACAGTCTGGTAGGGGTAGCTCTGTCTGCTCTCTCTGGTTTATAGAATTTGTGGGAGAAACTGAAGTGGTGTTGACCAACTGCCAATGAAGAGTGTTTGGGAACAGAGGAGTGCTCAGGAAGCGCTTCTTAGATGGAAGGAAATGGAATTAACTGCTGCCGTATGTAAACACAGAGCACCTGGGACTTTCTGTCCATGGACATGGTATCAGCGTTCAGAGAGCTGCATTCTGGAATGCAGGTGTGTGCCCTAGCTCTCAGGGGGACCTCAGTACATTTTATTATCTTTCCAGGTTGCATTTCTCCATCAATCTGTTCCTCTCATTCCTTCCCTTCTAAGATCCTTGGATTTTTATGACCCACTAGAAGATGCTCCTGGGCCTCTAGGGGGCATGTGCAGCCCAGGGAGAACCCCTGCGAGGTAGAAGCAGACACCTTCTAGAAAGCACCTACAGGTCCTCTCTGGGTCAGATATAGTTAAATGATCACAGCTGGACCCAAGTAGCCAAGGCTGTGGCACGCGTCATAAGCCATCAAGAGGCTGAGGGTGCCGTGAACAGTTAGCGTGCCGTGGTAAAGACGGCAGGAGGGAAGGGGGTCTGGAAAGCACAATTCATTTCAGAGTCCTGTTGACTCCAGGAGAAACCGTGGTATTTTCTTAAGGCCTTGGCTGCTGACTCAGCTGTCTGCTTTCTTCTGGGTTTTTCTTCTTGCCAGTACCCTGGAATTCCTGGCAGAAGGTGAGGACAAGGTAGGCATGGGTCTGAAAGCATCATTTAGGGGACATTATCAGGGCAACATGGAGAGCGCTGGACACTGGGCTCTGTATGGCCATGCTAAGCTGACAGCCACTGGAACTCAGTGTCCCCGGGGAATGTGGAAACACACACACACACACACACATACACACACACACACGCTTCAATTTCAAGATTAGGCCCCCGGCTCTCCGCATGCTGTGTGTGGATAAAGGCCCTCATTCTAAAGTCTTTCGATTTAGGGTGATTTATCAGGAGAAACGGTATTTTCCATGTTGGGCTAAGAATCCCTCGTTGATCATTCCAGCCCTTCAGGAAGACGTTAGTAACCAGCGCTCAAGTGTAGGGCTCAGACTTACCCGGTTCCCTTTGTCCCCGGGTGGTCCATGTAAACCCTGCAATAAATCAGAGACAGAAAGACACGTTAATGGGAAAGACAGAACAGTCAGGCAGTCATTCCCTCCAGGCTCAGAAAGAGCTTTATGGACCCCTAATTCAGGCAGGGACAGGAGGGGGACTTGACCTAGAGACAAATGAGTTTTCTTTTCTTCTTCTTATTTTATTGTATTTTATTGTACTGGGAATCGAACGCGGGCACCTAGCCACCGAGCCACATGGCCATCCTCCTCTCCAGCCTATATCCTGGCTCGTAGTCATGTTCTTCCAAGATGGCGCACACGGAGGAGTGGTGGGTCGGAGGCCAAGCAGTCAGCACGCAGTGCTCTTGGCGGAGGAGAAGTCCTTGGCTCTCCTGCCAGGCCCTTGCTAGCCAATGACTTCGCAGTTTCTCAGACCCTCTTTCAAGGTGCAGTTGCTCCAGGGGAACGAGCGGGAGGGGGACTGGCCCAGACAAGCCCACCCAGGCCACATGTGCTCAGTCTTCAGGCGGATGGGAAGAAGCAGAGGTCCAGGCTCTTCAGGGCAGACACTGGACCCTTACAACGAGCCAACAGGTGAATGTACTACGTACGGGTGGATGCTAGGTCCATTCCCTGAGGTCCAGCTGCCCTGAGAAAGCTCTGGGACTCACAGCACATCTCCTTTCTGTGACACAGAGATCTGGAGTTGATTCTACCCCTCCTCAAGGGCAGGAACCATGGCACATTCACTTGGGAGGCCCCTCTGTGTCCATGACAGAGGCTCAAGTAGAAGGGCTTGGGACATTACTGCATCCCTTGAGATGGGCCAGAGGGCTGAGCACCTGGTCCCCTGCCAGGGTCCCCAGGAAGTTCTAGCACCTCGCAGTGGCCTCTTGGCAGCTCCCTCTATCATGGGAACGAGACTTCTCCCTCAGCTCGAGATTTGTGCTTCAGGTTCTGGACACTGTTTTGACCTTGTTGTTGGGTGGCGGGGGACAGGGGTGGGCAGAGAGAAACCTCTGATTCCACCAGACTCACAGGAAGCCCAGCTGCTCCCGTTGGTCCTGTCATCCCTGGGTCTCCTTTGCTGCCCTGAAACGAGAGAAAGAAACCATGAACCCTCCCTGGTGAGGTGCCAGTCTTCCATCACCAGCTCCTATTCTGGTACAAAGACTGGGAGCCTCTCCGGCCTCCTCAAAGAACCCTCTGGAAGCAAAGTCTGTGTGAGAGGTGGGGTGTCACGGGTGCAGACTCTGCTCTGGAGGGTCTTGGAACCCCCTCACTCTCCCTCCAGCAGCGTCTGTCCCCCAGGGCCCTCTGGAAGGACTGAGCAGTGTCCTGAGGGTACTGGTTGGCCCGAGAGAGAAGCAGGGGAGGAGAAAGAGGAGCAGGAAGGTGGCCGAGAGAAGGGGAAGGGCAGGGAGCTATGGTTTCTTCCCTGAAACCTCAGCGTCATCTCGTTTCCTTGTGTGGCAGTGATGTCAGAGCAGCCCAGGCCCCTCTGCGGGAGATGCCCACCCTCTGCGTCCCGGAGACAGTCAGCAAGGTGGGTGGATGGAGAGAAGGGAGCTGCTGGTGCAGGTGGAGAAGTCCACAGGTGTCCCTGGGGACCAGCCTGCCCTCCAGAGAGCCCCCGTCCTGAGAGTGTGGGAACAGTGGCTTCCCGGTGCAGGAAGACAGGTGGCTGTCCTGCACACTGGCCTCCACTACCCTCACCTCTCACCCACTTGGCGTGGGATGGGGCTGGATCTCAGGTGTCACCTTACATTGCCAAGGCCACTCATCTCAGTCACTGTGGGGACCATGCCTGACATGCTGGCCTCCTGACTGCTTGATGTCCTCTAAGGGTCTTTCTAAACACCTGGTGCTCTGTCTATGCCGTTTCCCTACCTCATTATGAAATTTAGGCACATGTAGTCATAACACCCCCTGGGGCCTTGTCACACTGAACCATGACAGGTGACAGGTGATCAGAAACCCAAGTGGAGAAAGCTTCCATCTCATCTCTGTCCACTTGTGGCACTCGAAAGGCTCCCCCTCCCCCAGGCCTGCCTGGCTCCCCCAGGCTGCTGGAGAGTGACCAGGAGTGACAGCTGAAGGCAGGGATGAGGGCTGAGCCCCTGCGGCCGTCGTGGGGACCCCGTTGGGCTTGGGTGCTGAGGCTGAGGAAGGGTGGCCTGCAACACGCCCTCCCGCCCACCGAGCTCTCACCCTCTCGCCCTTTGGTCCAGCTGGGCCTGGAACTCCAATTGGTCCTGGGGTACCCTGAGGGGGTGAAAGAAAGGAGAGTTGAGGGGCTGGCTGCTGGGGAGCCCCGAGATTCCCGCCCGACCGCTGGAGATGAGCAAGGTCCAGGGCCCAGTTTTCAGGGTTGGCGAGGCCAGGCTTGTTCAGGGTGGCCATTTGATGGGGCCATTTATGATCCTTTTGGAGCTTGGGGGCCTTGGAGGCAAGAGCGCTGGCCCCTGCCTCAGAGCCAGATTTGGGGGACGAAACCCTTTTATGTCACAGCCAAGCTTGCCAAGGCTGAAAATGGCAGAATGGTTGCTGAGTTTGCTCCCAGAAGCCCTTGGGAGGGAAGTGACCCTGTCCCGGGGGCGGGGCCTAGGGCGGGCACCCCTTTGCTGTCGCAGCTTCACATGCAGCAGGAGGGTCTTCATGCCACAGAGACCAAGGCAGATGCACATAGAGAGGCAGGCGAGAGGGGGCCATCCAGCAGACCTGTCCCTGGCCCTGGCTTCTGAGCCCACCCCCGCGTCCTGGAACAGGCTGGATTGGAGGGGATTAGTTAGTGGGCCTCGGGAGCCTGCACCACATGAGCCTTCAGAGAGGTGGGCCACGACCTCTCCTAACTCAGGGCGGTAGGGAGTGGGGGCTGGCGTGGCTTGGAGATGGAGCAGGGCTTCCTGTGGCACCATCAAGTACCTTCCCCTGGTTCCCACCTGCAGCCAGACTGGACCAAGCCTCGAATTCACAGTCTCCTTTCTCTGTCTCACTGTCTCAGGCAAGGGCAGGGGGCTTGGTTGGGCCTGGGGGTGATTTCTGGAGCTCTGAGTGTCCCTGGGAAAGGTGGGGCTCAAGCAAGTGGGAACATGCTGATTTTCTCCACGTGAGAAAAAGCCACCAGGTCAGCTCAGTGCACAGATTTGCAACTGTGAGGAAGAAGGGAGACCATGGGCATGTGCCACTGAGGAACTGCCAAGGTAACAGTCCAGATCTGGGTGACAGCCCAGAACAGGGCTCCCCAGGCCCTGGGCCAGGCTCCAGTCCTGCTGCAAAGGCCTACAGACTCCCACGCTGTCTGGAAGCAGCCTGTCTGGGTGGCAGTATTCCCCTCTGTGCACTGAAGAGGGTGACCTACGTGTCTGCTTCCAGGCCCGTGTGAAAGCCGGGCCTGACCCTGGGCAGCGCCCACTCAGACACAGCTAGTCATTTGGACAGGGCTGGATTCTTTTCTTCCCCAAACATTGTCCTTTAAAGTCATGAGAAAAAAATAAAGCCGGGGGTCAAAGAGGACAGAGTACATGTGTTTGCACTGTGTCCCCTGCCCAAGAGAGAAGGATGAGCCGCTGAGGGGGGTGGGTCATGGCTTCTCTGCCAACAACGTCAGATCAGCCCCCAGCTCTGACCAGGCACCTGGGACAGGTGTGATCGGTGAGGACGGTGGGTGGGAGGGGGCTGTGGTGGAGGATCGAGGCACAAGGATGTCTCGAGAACAGTCACGGCTCTGTTGGTGAATTGGGGCGCTGCCCGCCAACGCACAGGGGCTCTGAATATGTGTCATCACGGGCTAGCTGTGTCCATGTCACCTTCTCTCTCTCTCTCTTTTTTTTTTTTTAATTTTTTTTAATTTTTGAGATGGCTGTCAGGATGTTGCCCAGGGTGGTCTCAAACTCATGGGCCTAAGTGGTCCCCTGCCCCAGCCTGGTGTGCCCCACCACCTGGGCTAACCTCTTCTTTAGGAGGGCACAGAACAACATTCATTAAGTCGAGGCTCTGATGGGGCCGCCTGTGCCCTCCTCCCTCTAAAGGTCCTAGGCTCTCCTGGCACTGCCTGCAAGCCCCCCTGGGAAGGTCAGCCTCCCTCTGTCTGTCTGCAAATTCTCCTCTCTCCTAAGTGCCACTCCACCAGCTCACAAGAAGCTCATCTTCCTGGCAGGACACGGCCATGTGGCCTTGAAAGCACCCCACCCACAAGGCAGAGCTGGGGCTCAGCGGCTGGAAGGGGCTGGGCACACGCTCGGCTCTGGGATGGCTCCTGAGCAGGAAGCCCAGCCTCCCGGCCCTTGACAGTCAGTGACCAACCCCATGAGAGGTACCATGCATCAGCCAGGAGCACCACAGCTCCGATGACCTCGCAGCATGCTCGGGGAGGGGACCGGAAGGACACTTTGGTTGTTTGGCATAAGCAGAAGTGCTTGTGGTCAGGAGTGAGGCATGCCCATTTTTTGGAATCTTGAGAAATAGAGAGGGGATCAGAGGGTCTCCCCCTTGCTGGCCTGCTGGGTGATGGTGTTGTCACTGGCAGGGGTGTGGTTAAACGTGTCCTTGGGACACTGAGCTGGGACTGGCCTCTGTGCTCTCCAGCTCCTCACCCTTCCATGCCACCCTCCCCCGCAGCACCAGCTGGTGGCTGCACAGGACTGGGAAGCCCTCATGGGCAGACAGAAGATGGACAGAGCCACAGCATGAAGACGACACAGAGTGACGGGCACATATAGACACGGTCGTGTTTGCTGGGGACGGGTCCAAACCCCCAGGGTGAGCTCAGCATTCCTTCAAGGTCCGGGTGGGTGCTGCTGGAGCAGCCTCCCGTGCCCGACACCTGGCATGACTGGGGTCCCTGGGTGCAGACTGGGCACAGGGAAGTTCAGACCAAGCCAGCGCCTGTGGTCCAGAGGACTGGAAAAACACTTCTGCTAAACGTGGATGGGACCTTCCTACAAGGGACAAGGCACGACTCACAGGGGAAACAAGCCACAGTGGGACAGACAGAGGGGTCACAGGCTGGGCATGGGGGGCAGGGTGAGGGGTAACAGAGAAGTGACACTCACCGGTGGCCCAGGCCTGCCGTCCAAACCTGAAGCTCCCTGGACGAAGGGCACAGTTTGACCAAGAGAAGGGGGAGGGCGGAATGGGGGGGGGGGGGAGAAAAAGGGGACAACAGGGAGGGAAGAGGTGAGTAGAGCAGTGACTCGGACAGACATAAATGCTGGCACTTCAACACGACGGGGGACAGGGAGCGGCATTTACATGGAAACCAACAAAAGCATGGAGACACCGAGGCTGTGGCCAGCTGTGAGCAGGCTGGAGGGACCAAGGCTGACGGCTGCCCGGGTCCACCCTGTGCCCTCGCTCCTTCCAGCCCCTCTCCAGGCCCCTCTCTCAAGGGCTTTCAGTGCCCCAGGGAAGGGGCATCAGAAAGGAAATCCTGGGGAGGCTTCTGGAATCGGAGCCTCATGTTCTTCCTAGGATGGGCTTCACTGGGGGGGGGGGGACAGGCTTACGCAGAGGGTGGCCCAGGTGAGGAGTCTTCCCAGCCTCTTTTTACAAATCTATTGAGATCGGACCCCCTTCCCCAACCCCAGGGACCCAGCTCTGAGTTCCAGCACTCAACCACGGAGCCACATCCCCAGCACCCCAACTTTAATATTTTATTTAGAGACAGGGTCTTGCTGAGTTGCTTGGGGCCTCGCTAAGTTACTGAGGCTAACAGTGAGTTTGCGATCCTCCTGCCTCAGCCTCCTGAGCTGCTGGGATTACAGGGGTGTGCCACCATAGCTGTCTCCAGCACATAAACGTGCCCTTGGGACACGGAGCTGGGACTGGCCTCAGTGCTGAGTTTTGAAAGCCAGTAGAAGCTGGCCTGGTGGGAGGAGTTGGTCCCGTGATGATAACACTAACAATGCCTGACGTTTTTCTGAGACTTAACAGTTTGCAAAACCTGACCTAAACTCAAAAACCATCCTTACGCTCCCAGACAAGCACCCTTTTATAGAAAAAGCTGACTGGATGATGGGCCTAAGTCACATGTCCCTTGTGGCAAAGGGGTGGGCAGATGGGTGCTGCTCAGAGCCATCTGCTCGGCAGCTGCCTCACTCCTTGCTGACCAAAGATCCATGGTAGGAAGGGGCTCTTGCTCCAATGCTAGGCTCTGAAGCTGTCCTGTGATCCATCTAGGAAAACCCGGGGCCATTCTCTCAAGATTCCAATGTGACAAGCCAGAAAGTAAGGAGGTCGTTGTTGCCGTACTCTAACTGGTAAGGGCTGAGTTCTTGGAGATTGCTTCCAGAGGGCCTCAACCTCGGGATTTTTTTTTTGTCTGGGGGACTGAACTCACTTAACCATTGGGCCACACACTCAGTCTTTTTTATTGTTTTTAAATTTTGAGACAGGGACTTGCTAAGTTGCTTAGGGCCTCTCTAATTTGCTGAGGCGGACCTTGAACTTGCAATCCTCCTGCCTCAGCCTCCCAAGATGCTCCCTCCCAAGGTGTGTGCTACCATGCCTGGTTTCAACCTCAGGATTTTAAAGGTGGAGGAAACCCGCAGAGAAGGGTGGACAGCAGGCTGCTTCCTCCCCAGGAAAGGATTCTCCCGGTTGGATAGAACCCCCGGGGACTTGGTTCTCAGAGTTAGGATCACATCATTTTGGGACTGACCGTGACTCACAGGCCAGAGCCAGGGTCCTCAACTCCAGCTGCCCATAGCATCCTCTGGGGTGAAGTTGCATAATACAGAGGCCCAGGCTCCAGCGTGGCCCAATGTAACCAGTCTCTACGACTGGGCCCGGGTAATGGTATGGTGACTCCAGTGCACTGCTAGCATCGAGGACCACTTATGGAGTGCAACAGAGAGGGACTCAACAGGACACGGTGGAGCGGGAGAAACAGTCTATACTATGGCTACAGCCAGGGAACAACTAGAGCTAATAGCCATTGACTGTGTCTATGCAGCATTAACACGGTTGTCTTATGAGGCCTGGAGCAGAGGACACACACACTCAGAACCTCAGGCCTTATGTGGGCCACGGACATACATTGTCTGGGCTGCAGGGTTGCAAATAAATTTGATCTAAAGTTAGAAAATGGGGAGATTTCATACAAAATCCTGGATGTCCAGCTTCCTTTGAAAAATTGAAAGATTGTGAAATGCTCCTTCCTCCAAGGCAACCACCCACTGAGCTGAGAAGGGGCTGCACCCCAGGGAAAAGGCATTTGGGCATCTGGGGTACCACAGGTGCCATCACTCCCTACTGACCCCCGGAGCCCATGTGACCTGCTGTCTCAGACCAGGCTTATTCTACAATTTTCTTAAGCTGGGCAAGATATTTCTCTGATCCATGGCTCTACTGAAAGTTGAAGAATTAAACAGAGACTGGGGACTTTGTCCTTCATCTGGCACTTTCTTTGTTTCTGTTACCTGTGCAGTCACGGTGCCATTGGCATGCCAAACTCTGACTAAATTCTCCAACAGTCTCTGGGGAGGTCAGGGCCATGAGGGTGAATGAGGGGAGGTCTGTGGTTGAGGGGAAAGAAGGTGCTTCCATGGGACATGCTTAATCATTCTGGATGCAGTTTGCGACATGGGGAAATGTCTGCTAAAGTCATTAGTTTTCTGTAGCACCTCAAGCAAATCAGCTGCTTCAGTAACCTTACGTTCGTTGCATTCATGAGGGTGTCATTACACCTTTCGCTTTGCTGTTGGGCGGCTGAGATTATAGGACCAGAGCTTCAGGCTCTGCCGAGCCAGGGGAAGGGGCTGCCCGTGCTCTCTGCTCTCCGTGGCTCCCTGGGGTGGGGCCGGAGGAGTCTGAGTAGCTGAAAGGAGTCCCTTTACAAGGCTGCGGCCTCAGTGGAGAAGCAGCCTCTGACCCCGCCTCATATGTGACCTCAAGTGACCATAAGGGAGATGGAGCACTAAAGCTCCTTCCAGCACTTGCAAAACAAATCCAGAGTGACAATCTCAGTGGGCTGTGGCGTGGTCACCAGGACACACTGAAGGGTAAAAGGCCATCAGGCCACTGGAGTTGGGACCAAAGGGACTCATCTGGCCCAGCCCCTACTTCTAGAGAAGAAGGTACCTTCTGAGAAGCCCTCACCAGGAACGGGGCCGTGAGCCCTGGGCAGGCTGAGATCAGAGCTCTCTGGAGCCTGGGGAACAAGTGGCCTTAACCTGCTGGGACCAGGAATTTTTGCATGCTTTGCTGCTGTGGCTAGTACTTAAGAGGGGAAAGCAGGGGTTCTTTGGGGGTCCTTCTGGGAAAACAGGTGAGATGGAGAATATCCTCATGGTCTCACTCTTCCCAAATCTCCAAGCTCGGCTCCCAAGGGAGGCTGTGATGGCCCTGCCTTGGGCACAAGCAGGTCCTGGGGCTGTCCTCAGGCCAGTCTGCCTCTCCCCTGGACTTGCCTTGGGTGGGCCCTGTCTTGTTTAGCTTTCATTTTCCCAGAACACCTGGAGGAGACCCTAGGAAAGGGAATTAGAGCCCAAGGTTTTCTCTGGTGGGAAAGGAAGGCCACTTGGGGCTCTGGTACAAACGCTCGAAACTTGAGACCCTGGAGTTTTCGAGTGGCTACTCCCAGGACCCTGCCCACCTGCTCCCGGCCCCATAGGGCCACCTGCCTGGGCTCCTTACAGTGTGGTCTTGCTGGCTCTGAGATACTTACAGGTAGGCCCAGAGGCCCTCGGTCTCCTTTTTCTCCCTGGGCCCCCTTCTCTCCTTTGGCTCCATCTAGTCCTGCCTCTCCCTGGAGGAAGGAGAAAGAGGAGGTCACAGAGGGCACGTCCTGGACAACCCATGCTTGTCTCTTGGGGTCTGGAGACAGGGGTGGGGTTTGTAGAGGAGGGCGAAGGCGGGGGTGGCTGGGCCACAGGTGGCAGGCCGGAGACTCCAAGGATCCCTGATCTACCACCCTGTCGCGCCTCAGCATCCTCTGGTGACACTGAGTTGCCCAAAGGGACAAGGGATGCATGGAGTGGAGGCAACGCACAGGGCAGTTACAGGTCAGGCGTTGACATAGGTGAACGTTTGCAGGGCAGGAACACTGGGATCCTACAGGATCTGCTGGCAGATGCCTGGAATATTCTACCACCAGGGCACCAAGGCTCATGAACTAGCTGGGAGAAGAAACGTCCCCAAAGTCCCCTGAAGGATGTCTTGTAGGGAGTAAGGGGCCTTGTCATGCCAACAGCCTGCGGCCCCCCTTATTCATTTGAAATGCTCTGGAGGAGACTGGGAGAAACTCACTAAACTGAGCCCGCGGGCTTGGCCCTGGGGAGGGCCCACACTTGGCTGCCACCTGTCTTCCTCCAGAGCTTGAGTGGATGGCGTGGGGCAGGTGACACGGGAAAAGGATCTCACCATTGGCTAAGGATCTAGCCTGTCACTTTGTATGCATGAATGGGAAAATCCTGCATCCTCAGCATGCCAGGCGTCAGTGCTGAATGTTGATGGCACCCCGCTGGATGGAGTGTCACCTGATGCCATTTAGGGAGAAGGATTGCTGGGGTTCCTGAAGCACTTTCCCTCTTTTCTGCTCTAACGGATGCACCCCCCCTGTCCCCCCACCCCAGGCCCTGCCCCTGTCACAGAACCTCTTCTCACCTTTGGTCCAGGAACACCTTGGAGTCCCTACATTTGGAATCAAAACAAGGTGCATTAGAACTGCAACTCTGTTGGACCTCAGAAGAGCAGGGGTTTCGCATGCAGTGTGGTCTGGAGGCCCTGTCCATGACAGGTGGAAGGGAATGCCGGGAGACCATGCTTGGGGCTTCCTGGGTGGGGTCTGAGCCAGCCTTTCCCAGCCAGGAGCCAACAGAAAAACTGTGGCCCCCATGGGAATATTGAGGAAATCGGACAAAAACTGAATAAATTAACACATGAAAAGTACTTAGAATAGTATCCGGCACATGGTAAGTTTCAGTAAATGTTGACTAGTGTCGTTATTGCTACCACTACTTTACAATGACAACAGGTGACACTGTGAACCATGCAGAGGTACAGACTGGCATCTGTTGGTTTGGGTGCTTGGGGGGCCTCTAGGTGCAAAATAAAGGGGCCCCACAGGTACATTTCTGCAACTACAGGAAGGCCAATCCAGTGGGGCTGGTTTTAATGGGTCACTTTTCATTTTAATCTGGTTTTCTTGCCAGTTGGGTACCAGGAAGGACGGAGAGGAGGAACAGATGTTGGATGGCAAAGGATTATGTAAATGTCGGGCACAGCTTAGTGACAAAGTAAGCCCAAGGCTGCCATGCTGGTCAACAGTTTGCAGGGAACCAGGCCACGCCCAGGCTCCTCGGTGTCATTGGGATGGCATGTCTAACATGGGAGGGAAGCAGAGTAGTGACTACCTTGGGTGCTGGTGGTTAGGGGTTAGGGACCTGAGCACAGGGGACTGAAATTTTGCCAACAAGCTGTCCATACTTACCGGAGGTCCAGGAGGTCCCTCTGGCCCTGGTGGCCCAGGAACCTGGAAGCCAAAGGGGAGCCCAGTTACACACCATGTGGTCCTTCCTCCTGACACAGCCCGGGGTCTGCTGAGGACTGTGAGGCCATAGGGGGACAGGGCTGCTCCCTGGAGGTCAGCTCAGCACACAGTCTCCCAAAAGAAGGCCCAGGACAGGTCAGAAACCCATTGCAACCCACTGGCCTGCACGATGTTGCAAAAAATTGCCAGGAAATGGCCCTAAAATATCCATTCTCCCACATTTTCTTGAAACTCTGGAAAATCTAGTAGAATTATTTTCACGCCTTGTTCATCAGGACTTCAGTGCGTGAACAGCTCTCCTGAAGGGGGCAAGATGCAGCCCCCTCGCCCCCTACCCCAGGCCCAGCCCCTCTGGGGCGAGGCATGAGATCCTTGGCTCACCCCAGTCTTCACCACCCCCTATTGTCTTTAACTCAGACATCTTGCATTCATTTGTGGGGGGTCTGGTCCCCGCAGGCATTTGAGTTTGAGGTCCTTTGCTTAGAGGAGCAGAGACTGCTTATCAGGCATGGGGGGAAGGCTGGGATGTTTCTGAAGGATAATCCAGGGACTGTGGATCCCGTTTCCCTCAAGGGCAGGTTTCAACGGAAGAGGACTTGGCTGGGTGGTGAAGATGGAGGAGCCCAGGCTACTTTCTTCTCTACAGAGATGGTGCCCACTGCGGAGTCTGTCTCTGATGAAACTGGACACCCACTGTCTAGGGTCAGCCACTGCCTGTCCCTTACTGAGCTGGGCACCCCACCCCTCAGCTTTAAGATTCTCCTCAGGTGCCTCACCTCTGCCAGGGATAGAATCACTAGACTATGGCCAGGTTGAAAACCCCTCTGCCAGGCCACGCTGCACTGGGTACACAGGAAGACCCCTAATGTCCCTTGGACCTGTGGGCTTTTCATTCAGCTTCCTCCTAGTCTCCTTGTCGGGAATACAATCTTTGGAAATTACTTTTTAAAAGTTTACTTTGTTTTCTTATTATAAATAATACGTACACAGATCTGATTACGGTAGTGTTATACAAATCTGCAATGGATTAAAATTCAAAGAATTTTACCTGTACAATTATTTTAAAAAATGAAACTTTAAAAGTAGCACAAACTCATTAAAATATGTTATGAATTTAAGAGAATTGAAATAAAACAAAAAGAAATCATTGGTTTACCTAGCTGAGAAGCACTGCTAATATTTTAAAAATTTCCTTACATGTTTTTATTGAATAATATGTAGTTGAATGTACTTGTGATGACATATAAATACATAAATATAATTGGGTTTTCTGTTTCTTTCTGCTTAACATGGAATCCATTTCTCCTGAGTGGAATGGAAACGAATATTATATAGCCAGGGCTGGCAGCAGCACTGTCACCAGGAAAGCTCTCAAACATGGGCCATTATTACTATTCGTATTGTTAGAATAAGTTATTCAATCCTTTTCTTCTTGTTAGAAACATGGGCTGTTTCTAATTTTTACTTTAAGTTCTTCTGGGAAGGATGTTTTTGTGTATAAGGCCCTTTCTGGATTTAGGATCGTTTCTTTAGGAGGTTATCCATTTCTAAGTAAGTAACATACATGGGATTACACAGTCAGGTCTGTTTCACTAAATCCAGGTGGGGCTGTGAACTAAAGGGTGATGGGAGCTGGGTGTGGTGGCACAAGCCTGTAATCCCAGCAGCTCGGGAGGCTGAGGCAAGGAGGATCATGAGTTCAAAGCCAGCCTCAGCAACTTAGCAAGGCACTAAGCAACTCAGTGAGACCCTGTGTCTAAATAAAATACAAAATAGGGCTGGGGATGGGGCTCAGTGGTTAAGGGCCCTTGGGTTCAATCCCTGGTACCAAAAGAAAAAGAAAAAAGAAAAGAAAAAGTGACAGGGCGAGGGAACCTCACAGGGGAGCGAGGAAGAGGCTTGGTGGCCTTTCCCTTTGCTCTGAGGGGGTTTCTGGATTGTCCAGGTCTTCCCACCACGTGTGGACTCTGCCTCGCAAACCTAGACCTCCGTGGCTTTCCCTTGCGTCTACACAGGTGCCCACCTTTCTCCCATCTCCTGACACCTGTCTCTGCCCTGACTCCCCCCCACGTGGCGGTTCTTCCCTTCACTATCTCACAGAACCTGTCTCTCTCTGGAAAGTCTTCCTCTAAAGCTTTGAGATGAACTCCTACAAAGTCGTCAAGACCGAACCTGAGATGCTCGCCCGGTTATGAGTGGCCGTCCCTCTCGTGCCCAGGACTGGGGACTGTGGGCTGCCTCAGGAGCAGGTCTGTTTATTTTCCTGTCTGTAGAAACCCAAACCCAGCAGGTGCTCTGGGAACCCTGGAGAGATGCTGCTGGAGGAGAGCCAAGCTCGGAGGCTCAGCGCCTAGCAGGGTGCTGCTCAGGAGGCCCAGCCTGTGCTTTGCTTCTGCCCTTCTCCTGACAATCAGCTGCGAGTTTCACCCTGGAGCACAGAGATGCTGGGCACCCTGGAGAGTCTGTCCTTTCTGATGAGACCTCCATCAAATCATTGCCCAAGTCACTAAAGGAAGAGCAGGTATGACCTACCTCTGCTCCTGGGTCACCCTTCTCTCCAGCTTCTCCTTTCTCTCCCTGTGGGCACAAGACACCAGGACGTGAGTGCCAGCACCAGTGTGAGCGCACAGGCATGACCCTGCATCTGTGACCAACTGGACCTGGACTAGGCTGGTCCAGGTGTCAGCACGGAACACCTTGGAGGCTGTGGGAGGGAGACTGCTAGCGGGTGGGTGCTGTGACCAGTATCTGCAAGGCCCTGAGGCTCTAGAGTGGGGAAGGGACTGCTGTTCTGTGTGGTCCTGCAGTGGACAGACCCTGGGGTGGACCTGTGACTCATTTGTCAGCCATAGAATAGGGCACATGTCACTCCTGAGAGCATGTTACAATTACCATGTACCTGTTATACACGAAAACATATGACATTTTGAGATTGTGTTGCAAACATGTCACACACACACACACACACACACACACACACACACACACACGGCTCTGCCCTGCTGTACTAGGGACCCTTTTGTTGATCTTGACCTTGAAGAAATAAGCTGCTATACTGTGAACTGCCTACCACAGGGAGGGCCAGGTGGCAGGGGACTGTCCACCAGGAGCTGAGGGATTTGGTCCTACGATGACAAGGAACTGGATTCTGCCACCAGCCAGTGAGCTGGGGAGAGGACCCCTGGCTCCAGCTGAGACCGCAGCTGGCTGACACCTTGATCACAGCCTTGTGAGACCCAGGAAAGACCCACAGAAGCTGTGACAGTAAATGTGTGTAGTTTTAAGTTGCTAAACTTGTGGTGATTTGTTTTGCAGCCATAGGAAATGAACACCACCCCACCCCGGAGAGGATGTGTTGAGGGACATCAGCCTCTAAGGCTCTTTCCACCCCAAGAAGGAAAGTCCAGGTCCAAGGTGCTACACCTTAGGACTAGGTTGGCCCTAAAGACAGAGGTCACCGTGCTGTGTGCTGAGGAGACTAGAACCCTGTGTGCACTCAAATTCAGTAGCTGCTCGTCAAGAGGACCCCCTAGGCTGGGTGGGCGGGCTCGGGGCTAATGTAGCTTTGTCACTGTGCCAGGCACCCTAGGCTAGTGGCTCATGTGGCTTCAACTGCAGCAGTCTGCCAACACCCTCAGGACCCCGCCCTCTCGCCTTACTGTAAATCCCGGGAGCCCGATGGGGCCAGGCAATCCTGTCGCTCCGGGCCTCCCTTGGCCACCGGGTTCTCCTTTCTCCCCAGTTGGGCCGTCTAGACCCTACAGATCGACAAAGGTCTCTGTTAGTGAAGCTCAGGGTTGTGATGCCGAGCACCTGTGGCCATCTAGGGCACACATGCAAGGCTCCGTTCCTCCAAGGCGAGTGCCTAGGAGGGCACCCACTTCACAGGTGGAAAATCCTGAGGCCCCATCAAGGCCCCCAAATCAAGTCAGCAGCCTTGCTGGAGGGGACAAGGACTCCTGCATGCGACCTCTCGTGGGAATGGGGCTCTGCCTGCCTTCCAAAGAGGCAGTTTAATGCCCAGGACTCTCTCTTTTCCAGAGACCCATGAGGTGTCCAGGGAAGGAAACTGAGGCTCTGCAAGGCTCAGGGACTTTCCCAAGGACAGACAATGACAGAACAGGAGTTAGGTGGCCTGAGTCAGGAAGCTGGTCTTCATAAAGTGATCCCCTGCCCCTGATTCCTGCCTCCAGGTTTCCAGCTCAGGCAGCGGCTGGCATTGGGCAGAGCCAGGGCGGGCATGCAGGGGTCACGCACAGGGAGGGCCAGCCGGCCTGCCACTCACCGGAGAGCCTGCCGGGCCCGTCTCCCCTTTCTCCCCCTTCTCTCCTGGGCTCCCTGGGGATCCGTTTTCTCCCTTCGTTCCTGGAGACCCATCCTTTCCTGGGGGTCCTTGGGGGCCAGGGGGGCCCATGTCTCCTGGTTTGCCTCGAGGTCCCTTTAGAAACATCAGTAGTGCTTCTTAGGCATATGAGTGGAGAAGGGGGCGGGAGGATGGAGCAGAACGGGGGTCCAAGGACTGGAGTTTTGCTGCTTGCTTGGAGCTGGCAAAGGGAGCCCCCTAGACTGGCTCTTAGCGCTCCTTCTGGGGCTGCAGCCCAAGCCCTCCGGCCCCCTCCTGCATCCCCTGAGGGCACACAGCCGGGCCTGTTCCAGAGCCTCATTTTGCCCTCACCCTGGTCAAGGCCGTTTCAGAGGCTTGTCCGGCTCTGGCTCTTCTTACCTTTTCTCCATCGTGTCCTGGAGGGCCTGGCAGTCCAATCTCCCCCTGTGGCCAGAACAACTGAAGGTGACTCTCAGAGCAGAGACAATAACAACGTAACTTAGGCACCATTTCCTGGGTACAGGCATCTTTCTCTGCATGATTCCCCAGAGTGCAAGCATTTTGATTCTCACTTGGGAGTCTTGGGAGATATGTGCTTTCGTTGTGTCTTTTACAGATCAGGACCCCAAAGCACACAGTATGCACCCAAGGCTCACAGTTAGTGGTGAAGGGAACCGGGATCCGGGTCAGGGCATCCTGACTCCATGGTCCGAGTTTTAGCTGCAATCTTGCACTGCTGTCATTGAGAACCCTGGGCATCCCTGTCCCCTCTGAACCAGCCCTCCTGGCCCAGCTGCCCATGGCTCCCTGCATCTTCACCCACCCACTTCTTTAGGTCAGGGAGGAGGAGGAGGTGAGGAAGGTGTGATAAGGTGATGTAGGTGTCTCAGAGAGGGAAGGTGTGAATTCTGCCTGATGGGCCAGGCCGGGGAGGCTTCAAGGAGGAGGTGGCTTTTGAGTTGGTCTGGGAAGATGAGAAGTCTTTGAAAGTTAGGGAAGAGGGGAAGGGATTGCTGGGCAGAGGACAGAGGGACAGTCCTTCTAAGACAAAGCATGGGGTGGATGGGCGAAGGATGGGAGGATAAAGGAAAGCAAAGGCAGCGAGGGATGGAGGGGTGAGTGGGGAGGGGCTCAAATGCCACCTTCCCTGAGGGGTGGCTCGGGGTCCCAGCTGTGGGTCTGCTGGAGCAGGGGCAGGGTGTGTCACCTCAGAAGGGTGTCTGCCTGTGAGGACCCCCACGACAGACAGCAAGGGAGGAATGACGGAGCCCAGGGCTGAGAGGAGCCACACGGCCGTGACAGTGGCAGGGCCACGGTGCCCTGGAGCATGGGAGGAAGTACAGGCCAGAGAATCCTGGGAAGGTGGGGGCCACCGGACGAGGGGTGGCTCTGAGGTCCCTTGCTCAGGGAGGCAGTGTCCTTGCAGGGTCTTTGTCCCCTTGTCAAGGTAGTTTTACCTTCTGGCCTGGGGTCCCTGGAGCTCCGGGGGGGCCTATTTGCCCAGGTAGACCAGGAGGCCCCTAGGAGAGAAAGGAAAGGCGTGTGGAAGAGGTTTCCAACCAGGAGGGTGGCCCACCA